ACCTCCCTTTTGCCCTTGAATTCCCAGCGTCACTATTTACATACCCTTGTGTCGCAACCATGCTATAATGCGTAGGTAACATTTGACCACTTGGTAGGTGCCAGGCAGTATCTGCATTTCTAGAAGGCAGTCTGTGATAGTCAGGGTCACGACTTCTGGAGTCAGACTAAGTTCATCTTTTAACTGTGGGACAGTGTCTTAACTGTCAGTTACCTTATCTTGGCAGTATCTTAACCGCTTTCCCCTAATTTCTTCATCTGTGAGATAGAAACAATCATAGTATTTCCTCACAGAGTTGATAAAAGGATCAAATTAATATATATAAGGTGTTGAGGTGCCTGGGTGGCTCAGTCAAGCATCTGACTCTTGATTTCAGCTCAGGTCATGATCTCACAGTTCATGAGTTCAAGCCCCATGTCAGGCTCTGTGCTGCCAGTACAGTCTGTTTGGGATCCTCTCTCTCTCCCTCTCTCTGTTCCTCCTCTGCTCTGTCTCTCTCTCTTTCTCTCAAAATACATAAACTTAAAAAAAAATATATATATATATATATATATGGTGTTTAGCACAAGGTGAGTACTCGTGTGTAAGCTTTTATACACGTTCAGTGCATAAATTTCCCTCATTTAATCATTACAGCGCTCCTGTTGGGTAGTAGTTATTCTGAGACCTTTTCTCAATAGGAAATCAAAGTTAACTGACTTGTCCAAGGTCACATAGCTGTTTAAATGTTCATTGTTATTATTTTTATTAGAAAGTGGCCGAGGCGGGATTCATATCCAAGGCTACCTTTAAAGTCAGTTCTCTTTGTTGCTCCTGTCCCCCTAGAAAAAGTCTTTTAGAGCAAACCATGATCACTATGGACCAGGCAGCCACTGTGCTGAGTGCTTCCTGCTTCTACATACTTGTAGTCGTCACCACGAGCCGAACCGTGAGGCAAAGGACTGTCATCATCATTCCCATTTTCAAGACAAGAGAACTGACGCTTGAAAAGATTCTAAAGCTCCTTGCCCAGAGTTTTATAGGTGGAAAGCAGGTATCGTTTGAACCCAGATCTCACTTCCGATTCGTGCCCCTGACAGTTCTGTTACGATCTTTTCCTACCTTAAAAACTGGATGAGGCGTCTTAAGTTTTTGAAAAAATGTTACTGGTTTTTAACGACATATTCAGATAGTTTAGAAATGTGTCTAAAAAGATTCATTGAGAGCTGGCAGGGCTCCCAGCTGCCCTGTCCCCCTCCCAGGAGGCGGTAGAGGTTATTGTTGTGGTGCATCCTTCCAGAAGTAGTCTGTGCACATGTACAATGTGTGTATATTGACACGGTGGTGTGTATCTTTTCACAGCGCTTTGTTCAGACAACACGTATACTCTTGCACACGTCACCCTTTTCCTTGAGCAGTACACCATGGTGATTATTTCATGTCTGAATGAAAAGAGCTTCCTTGTTTGTTATTTTCTGGCTGTATAGTAAGTAGTTTTAAGTGTGGATGTCCCATAAGTTATTAACCACGCTCCTCTTCATGGGCAGGTAGTCTGTTTCTAATCTTTTGTCATTCTGTCCGGTGCTGTAGTCAGTTCCTAGGGTACATGGGGAACGTGCGTTTGTAATTTCGTTGGACATCACTAAAATGTCTCCAGAGTATTTGCTCATTTTACACTCTACCACCAGCATCTGTCAAATTATCATCTGGCAGGGATTTGGAAATATTTTTTATTTTCCTTTTTTTGGTCATTCCAAGTAATAAATGTTCACTGTTAGAAGTTTGGAAAACACAGAAAAATGCAAAGAAGAAAGTAAAAACATTTTGAATCTGGGGCGTCTGGGTGGCTCAGTCCGTTAAGTGACTTCTGCTTGGGTCATGAGGTGACTGTTCATGAGATCAAGCCCCGCATAGGGCTTGCTGCTGTCAGTGCAGAGCCTGCTTCAGGTCCTCTGTCCCCCTCTCTCTCTGCCTGTCCCCCACTCATGTGCTCTGTCTCTCAAGAGCAAATAAGCATTTAAAAAACTAAATAAAGGGGCGCCTGGGTGGCGCAGTCGGTTAAGCGTCCGACTTCAACCAGGTCACGATCTCACGGTCCGTGAGTTCGAGCCCCACGTCGGGCTCTGGGCTGATGGCTCGGAGCCTGGAGCCTGCTTCCGATTCTGTGTCTCCCTCTCTCTCTGCCCCTCCCCCGTTCATGCTCTGTCTCTCTCTGTCCCAAAAATAAATAAACGTTGAAAAAAAAATTAAAAAAAAAAAACTAAATAAGCCATTTTGAATCTTACATTAATGTATGCATTTTGTATATATCTCAGTATTATTTCTATGTATATTTAATATCTGCATATACATACATAATTTTAGAAATCTCCTACTTTTGTTGTTACCTGTATTTCAACAGCTTTATTGAGGTATAGGTTACATATCCTAGAATTTGGTCATCTTCAGTGTACAATTCAGTGGTTTTTAATAAATTTATGACATTGTACAGCTATTACCATAACCCAGTTGTAGACCATTTCCATCACCCGTGAAGATCCCTCCTGCTCACTTGCAGTCGATTTGTTACCTGATTTCTTGCTGTATTATTAAATATTCATTCAGCAGATATTTATTGAGTGTTGAGTGTCTGCTATGTGCCAGGCAGTAATCTGGGTGATAGTTAATAAAAGAGATAAAAATCTTTGCCCTGGTGGAGCTCACATTTTGTAGAGCTACCTTTGTATTCTTCCTTCCCATTAGTTTCATCATGACATAGTATTCAGTACATAGGTGTGCTATACTTTAACAATTCCCAAGAAGTCGGACATTTAGGTTGTTTTCATAATTTTGCTATTGTAATTGAACAGACTTATGGATAAATTCTTGTGCCTATATCTGTGATTTTTGTTACAACAGAGTGCTGAGTCCAAAGGAAGGCCCGTTGTAAAGCTTTTGTTACATGTAGTATATGAGGGCACTGAGCCCTTGTAGCACTGCCAGCTGGGTCATTTTTAAATCTTGCCAATTGAGAAAGTTGTGTCTCATGTTAATCTTTGTTTATCAGTGAAGTTGTCAATCGCTTTATCTGTATTTGAAGGCTATTTTAATTTTTTTAAAAGCATCTGTTCATAGTCTTTGCTCATTTTTCAATTGTTATATTTGCTTTTATTGATTTGTAAGAGTGTTATACTTCTTGGCTGTGTATGTTGTATTTTTCATAATTTGTCTTTTTTGTTCATTTGGTTTTGGTCAAAAGTTTTTTTAATGTTTAAAATTTATTTTGAGAGGGTGGGGTAGAGAGGGAAGGGCAGAGAGAGAAGAGAGAATCTCAAGCAGGCTCTGCACTGTCAACACAGAGCCCAACACGGGGCTTGAACTCACAAACTGTGAGATCATGACCTGGGCCAAAATCAAGAGTCAGACACTCAACTGACTGAGCCACCCAGGCACCCTCAGAAGGTATTTTTTTTTTTTTTTAACGTTTATTTATTTTTGAGACAGAGCATGAACAGGGGAGGGTCAGAGAGAGGGAGACACAGAATCTGAAATAGGCTCCAGGCTCTGAGCTGTCAGCCCAGAGCCTGACGCGGGGCTGGAACTCACAGACCGCGAGATAGTGACCTGAGCTGAAGTCGGCGGCTTAACCGACTGAGCCACCCAGGCGCCCCGAGAAGGTATTTTTTAGATGTACAAAAATTCTTCTGTAGTTAAATCTGTGTTTCTTCCTCTGATATCTGTCTTTGTATGTAAGACCTTCTCTAGAAGTTATTTTTGGGTATGTGGTGAGGACGATCTAACTTTATTATTCTATATACATATTATCCAAGCAGCATCTATTTCAAAAATTCTTCCTTTTTCATTGATTGGAAATGGCCCACAGGGCCCATCCTAGTCTAACTTCCCCCCACCTTGACAGCCTCATGTGGCCTCAGTCCTCCCCCGTGCTCGTTGTCCCAGTTGTCCCACATTCTCGAAGGCTTCTTTCCTTCCTGCTCAGGAAGGACGAGTCTCTTTGTGTGTGTCATTCCTTATGTCTGGAAGACTGGACCATTTCCCTGCAGCAACGCCCCTGTCCAATATGAAAGATCTCGTAGCTCTTGTCACAATTTATAACAAGAGAATTACAGCTCCCCGGGACCCCTAGTGCCTGGCACATAGAAGGCAGTACATACTTAGAGTGAATGAATTGTAGCCTAATCATACATTTTGACATCTAGATGTTTAGCTGGGTTTTTTGTTGTTGTTGTTTTCTAAAATTTCTTCAGTGTTTATTCTAGATCTACACAGTCCAGTGTGATAGCCACTGGCCACATGTGGCTATTGAGCACTTAAAATGTGATTATTCCAAATTGAGATGTGCTGTAAGTGTAAAATACACATAGATTTCAAAGAGTTAGTATGGAAAAAAAGAATGTAAAATGTCTCATTAATAACTTTCTAATATTTCTTATATGTTGAGAATGTTTTAAATGTTAGGTTAAGTAAAAATGTATAAAATTTAATAATGTTTATTTTTAAACAGTGTTAACTGCTAGAAAACACTACACATGTGGCTAACCTTATATTTCTGTTGGACAGCAATGTTCTAGATGAATTGTAAAATCATTTTGTGAAGTTACTGAGAATGTTCTTCATTGGGCTGCATTATATTTATAAATTAATTTGGTGGGAAAGTGCCTATAGTATTGCATTTTTCAGAAGCGTGATATGTATCTTCATTTACACATACATATTTTTGTCTTTATCAAAATGTTAGTTTCTTCTTGCAGATCCTGACTATTTTTTGTTTAGCCCCCAGGTATATTATGGTTTCTGTTACTATTGTTGGTTGCAACCTGTCATTATCTTACTTAACTTGTGTTTTATGTACAATAATTTATGAAACGCTCCATTTACTAGATCCTGCCTCTACCAGATTTGTTCCAGTAGTTCACTGTGTTTTCTGTGTAAATAGTCCTGTCTGCCTTGAATAGTAATTTCGCCTCCTCTTTTCTAATAGCTTCGGGCCTTAATTTTTTCTTGTCTGTTGCTTTGGCTAGAACTTCCAGAACAATGTTAAGAGTAAGAGAAGTGATGGGCAGACAACCTTGTATCCTCCCAGGCACTAATGGGAATGCCTTCTGAAAGTGTTTACCAGAGTGTGCACCAGGGAACACTAATTCTTGGGAATATTTACATGTGTACCTTGGGAGAAGAGTTACACGCTAAAATGAGTGTGCAAACCACTGAGTTAAATAGAATTCTTGTCTGCAGGACTTTTCAGGTGGGTTATTATGCTAATACATTTTTTACTTCCTAGGAGGTAGGGATATTGACACCAACTCATGGGCTTGTGTTCTATTGAATATATTTTGGGAAATGCAGGTATAATGTTTTCTTTCTAAGGATGATGGTGCTGTTGGTTGGCAGTAGGTACTGTTTATTATATTAAGAAAGTATATTAAGAAAATACTCTCTTCATATTTTTTCCTTACTTTGAAAAGGCATTTAACTTTCTAAAATCCATGTTTGGCATAGTTTTGATTTGGTTGTGTGGTTTTTTCCCCCTTTGACTTACTGATGTGGCAGATTATATTTATATATTTCCTAACATGTAGCCATCCTTACGTTTGGTCACAATATATTATTCTTTTAATAGGTTTTATTTGCGAGGATTTCCTCGAGGACTTTAAAATCTGTTTACTTAGGTAGGGTTGACACTTGTCTTCTTTATCCTGTTCACCATCTTCTGGTATCAGATTTATGTCATATAAATGGAGATGCTTTAATTTTCTTTCTTTCTTTCTTTTTTTTTTTTTTTGAGATGACTTAAGTGTTTTAACATGCATCTAAAACAGTGTGAACGGCCTGAAGATCATTTATGCTTTGGCACTTCTGTTTCTTTTTGTTTAATTCTGCCAATTTATGTTACTCTAAAAATATGTCCTTTCCGTACAGATTTCAAATTGATTTCAGTCATAACTCTAGGATAAATAAGGGCACGGTATTCCTCCTTAACTAAAATGTTTTAACTCAAATTCTGACATGATAAAAAAAAAAATCTTGTGTGATCTAGTCAAACTAACTGGTTGATCCTTTCCTGCGAGAGTCAGATTAAATTGCACGTTGTCGTGTCTTGTTATGGCTATGTGGTTTTTCTCCTTTGACTTATTGATGTGGCAGATTGTATTTATATATTTCCTAACAGGTAGCCATCCTTACATTTGGTCACAATATGTTACTCTTTTAATGAGTTATGTTTCCGAGGATGTCCTTATAATTTTGAAAATTTAAAAAACTTTCTCTATGATAATATGCTGTTCAGTGTTCTTACTTTTTTGCTTTCTTTGGGTTTAACTTGTTCCTTTTCTGACCTCTTCGGTGATTTCATGTATATTTATTATTTGTTGTTTAATGATAAATACTTTTAAGGGGTGCCTGGGTGGCTCAGTCAGTTGAGTGTCCAACTGCATCTCAGGTCATGATCTCATGGTTCGTGAGTTTGAGCCCCGTGTTGGACTCTGCTGACAGCTTGGAGCCTGCTTTGATTTCTGTGTTTTCTTCTCTCTCTACCCCTCCTCTGCTTTGATTTCTGTGTTTCCTTCTCTCTCTACCCCTCCTCTGCTTGTGCTCTGCCTCTCTATCTCTCTTTCTCTCTCAAAAATAAATAAACATTAAAAAAATAAATAAATAAATTTGGAAACAAAAATGCTAAATACTTTTAAGGCACTGACTTTCCCTGTTAAAATTTGTTGTTTCAAGATCCTCAACATTTTTTCTGAGAAATTTCAAATATACAGAGAAGTTGGATTTTGCAATAAACACCTGTATACACTCACCATCTATACTCTACACTTGTTAACATACTACTCTGTTTGCTTTATCACCTATCTATCCATCTCTTTTTTTGGATACATTTTTAAGCAAGCTGAAGACATAAGTAAATTTTACTCCTAAACCCTTCTTGCTGCAGATTTTATGTGAGTTTTCTTTTTTTTCTAAATAGTTTTATTCCTTTCTGATATTCTCTTTGATTCGGTGCTTATTCAGGAGGTATTTACATTTCAGTTGGTTGGGTTTTTTAAGCACTAAAATACAATTGTTAGATCTGATTTTGTCGTATTTTGGTTAGAGTGTGCAGCCTGGGCTATAGACACTTACATGTTTATGAGAGATTTAGTGCTGTGGATTCTTGGCAAGGGTAGCCAGCCTGTCCCAAGGTGTGCCCACCTGCAGTTGGGAGCGCTGTTGGACAGCAATATGCTCGCGGTGTGTCCATCACTCTTGTTACTCCTCCTGTCTAAAACTTTTCACTGAAAGGGATTGAGCATTGTTCTGTCCATTACCAATCCAAAAGGATATAAAGGTGTGCAGACCTGAAGGGGAAAAAAGGCACATCAAGACAACAACTCAAATTCTAAACTGAAAAAGGTTTAGCTCCATTCAGTATATCCAGTGTGCCATCTGCTTGAAAAACACCAATTGGAAACATACAAATGAGGCAGAACATTCTTTACATGAGTTTGCTTATTTTTTTACAAAGTATTCCAAATCCTCAGAAGTAAGTGAAACAGGGAAATATTTTTTCTTGAGCTGAGAGGACTTGACATATATAACATGTGATGATTTTGATGAAGATGAATGGTAGGCAGTTGGGGCACTAGGCTGATTGATCTTTAGGTTATCTGACTTTCGGTGAATTAACCAAGACATGAAAGACTGAAAATAAGTAAGAGGAAGAATGCTAAGGCTGACCCTCAGGCGGCATGGTAGCTGCAGTGGTGGTGGTGGTGGTGTTATGTTTGCAAGCTTGTGTTTATGCCGCTTGTACTTAGTGAGGAGTCACTGGTGAATTATGAAACTCTCTCTTTCTGCAGATTACGCTTCATGTCAGTAGAAATGGACAGCAGCAGTTTTATTCAGTTTGATGTGCCCGAGTACAGCAGCACTGTTCTGAGCCAGCTAAACGAACTCCGCCTGCAAGGGAAACTATGTGACATCATTGTCCACATTCAGGGTCAGCCATTCCGAGCCCACAAAGCAGTCCTCGCTGCCAGCTCCCCCTATTTCCGGGACCATTCAGCATTAAGTACCATGAGTGGCTTGTCAATATCTGTGATTAAAAATCCCAATGTGTTTGAACAGTTGCTTTCATTTTGTTACACTGGAAGAATGTCCTTGCAGCTGAAGGATGTTGTCAGTTTTCTGACTGCAGCCAGCTTTCTTCAGATGCAGTGTGTCATTGACAAGTGCACGCAGATCCTGGAGAGCATCCATTCAAAAATCAGCGTTGGAGATGTTGACTCTGTTACTGTTGGTGCTGAGGAGACATCAGAGAGTCGTAATGGAGTTAAGGACAGCAGCTTCTTTGCCAACCCGGTTGAGATCTCCCCTCCATATTGCTCTCAGGTACGGCAGCCCACCACGAGCAGCGATCTTCGGATGGAGACGACGCCCAGCAAAGCTTTGCGCAGCCGCTTACAGGAGGAAGGGCACTCGGACCGAGGGAGCAGCGGGAGCGTTTCCGAGTACGAGATTCAGATAGAGGGGGACCACGAGCAAGGGGACCTGTTGGTGAGGGAGAGCCAGATCACTGAGGTGAAAGTGAAGATGGAGAAGTCTGACCGGCCCAGCTGTTCCGACAGCTCCTCCCTGGGGGACGACGGGTACCACACAGAGATGGTGGATGGGGAACAAGTTGTGGCAGTGAACGTGGGGTCCTACGGTTCTGTGCTGCAGCACGCATATTCCTACTCCCAAGCGGCCTCACAGCCAACCAGCGTATCCGAAGCTTTTGGAAGTTTGAGTAATTCCAGCCCGTCCAGATCCATGCTGAGCTGTTTCCGAGGAGGGCGTGCTCGCCAAAAGCGGGCTTTGTCTGTCCATCTGCACAGTGATCTACAGGGCTTGGTGCAGGGTTCTGACAGTGAAGCGATGATGAATAACCCCGGGTATGAGAGCAGCCCCCGGGAGAGGAGTGCAAGAGGGCACTGGTACCCGTACAATGAGAGGCTGATCTGCATTTACTGTGGAAAGTCCTTCAACCAGAAGGGAAGCCTCGACAGGCACATGAGGCTCCATATGGGAATCACCCCCTTTGTGTGCAAGTTCTGCGGGAAGAAGTACACACGTAAGGACCAACTGGAGTACCACATCCGGGGTCATACTGATGACAAACCATTCCGCTGTGAGATCTGCGGCAAGTGCTTTCCATTCCAAGGTACCCTCAACCAGCACCTGCGGAAAAACCACCCTGGTGTAGCCGAAGTCAGGAGTCGCATCGAGTCCCCCGAGAGAACAGACGTGTATGTGGAACAGAAACTAGAAAATGATGCGTCGGCCTCAGAGATGGGCCTAGATTCCCGGATGGAAATTCACACAGTGTCTGATGCTCCTGATTAAGATGGTAACGAAGTGCACCCAAACAAAGCACATTAATCAATGCATATTTGTGATTTGCTTTGTTGTAATCTTTGGTTTTCCCAACCATCTGGAAATCTCTCCGTCTCTTGGCAGTTTTTCTAAGGTTTCTGGAAGGAACACTTCATTGTGTTTATCCTTTCCCCCGCCCTCCCTCTCCCAAGGAGCTCAAAGCATGAAGGGCAACGTATCCAGGGAAAACACAGGCTGACAGTATTCCTCTTTGGCTGAACTCTTAATCCCAAATCTGCCAGTGATTTAGCTATGCCAACTGGTTGACCCTACATTCTCTGCCAAGAGGCATACTCTCTCGTTGTGTGCACTGGCACCAGTGCGTTTCCACGGAGAGAGACTGGGATGCCGTCAGCTGATACAAATGGGTAACCTTTTCTAATTTAAAATTACTTTTAAGGGGTAGTTAGACAATTTATATATATATATAATAAAGCGATTATTATATATATAGTATATATACATTCTCAAATTTGATTTTATTCTGGTTGAGGTGAATGTAAGAGGAATATATAATTTAATACAATGTGAACAGGGCTTTTGACTCTGTCTTGTCCCCACCCAATGTTAGGGTTTTGCCCCTTTATATCCCTTACAAAAGAATGTTAATAGGTTTTCACATATATAATTCATTGTGTCCAAAAGCAAGCAAAGCAAATCACAGTGTTCATAGCTCTGCTTCCTAACAAGTACATAAACCAAATGCCATAAAATGTATTCAACTCTAGTTGGAAACCGTTTGGAATTTTTGTTCGTTGTCCAGTAGGTAAGCTGGATGACCCGTGGTGCTGACCTTTTTACATATTGTAGTGTTATATTAGCCAGCCCCAAAGGAGCAGTGGTTTTCAATGTTTTTACTGGCCTACGAATCTACCTTCATTCCGTACTGTAGAAACACACCAGGTAACTAAATCGAATCACTCTACCATGAGTTAGTACTCACACTAAAGGAAAGGGATTTGTAGTTCTGTCTACAAAATTCTCCAAGCAGTGTTGTGGGTTTTTTTTTTTTCCTCTTTTCAAACAGCTAGTTCAGGTGCACAGCAACTTTTTCTACATGCAGTTCCCAGGGAAACTGCAGAACTTGGAATTTGTACTTTTTGTAAAGATATACTCTATGGGAATTGCAAGCAATATATCTATCTTAGTATTGTGTGTGCTAACGAGAGCCTCAGTGGCTCCCCCACTCTCAGTGTTTCCTGCTTAAAGAAACCAACAGTCAAAAAGCCCTCTAAGATACTCTGTGTGTCACCAAATCTGTGTGTGTCACCATTTTTTGGGTCACGTGGTGCTATTTTTATGTTATGTATCTTTTAGGTCAGTATAGTTGTAGAAAATGTGAAATCTAACAGTAATAGTGAATTACAATTTTTTTTTTCCTCTCCTGAGTTTCTAGCTTGAAAAGAGACCTCAAAAGCATGTGCTTGCTGGCAAACACATTACTGTATCAAAACATACCTGAGTCCTATTTGAAAAATGTCTTGTCAGTACTTTCAAAGTGTCTTCAGCTCTGTACTTTGTTTACCCGTCTGCTTCTAGTAAACAAAACAGGCCCTACGAGTTCGCTTTGGTACTGTGCACCCTGACAGAGTACTTTCGGAAGCAATTTGACGGTGAGTTTGTGCTGCGGGCTGCCCTGCCCGTAGGATGTCAGCGCTCCAGACTCCCTGCTGGAGAACCTTGGCTCTGAAGCCCGCAGCCAGTACGTCTCCCCAGGAGAACGGCACAAACCACCCAAAAGAAAAATAGGCATAAAAAGACACAACTCGAGAGGCTTAGGAGTTGAAGGAGTACAGAAATGGACGTTTGCTGGTTTTCCATGCTTTTTTGGCTCTTAAGATACCAAGAATGGTGGGAGGTAGGGGGTGTTCGGGGGAGGTTTTGGGGGTTTTTGTTTTTGTTGTTCGTTTTCGTTGTTTTGTTTTGTTTTGTTTTGTTTTGTTTTGTTTTGTTTTGTTTT